GACAAGAAAGCTAGAGCAGTTGGATTATTTTCTTCTACTTTGTATTTTACTCTGCCATAATGTTAATCCAGAATACTTGGGGAAAATAAAACCCTTTTCAGAAATGGTAACAAACACACACGCCTTACAGCCACCTCATTTTGTGATCAACAACTGGCCCATGCTTTGAGAGTCACACAGCTACCAGAAAGTTTATCTCATACTTCCATCACCAAACAGGTCAGCTCCCCTTTGCTTTCTGTCATAGAAACCTTCCTGGTAGCTGCAAACAAAAACAGGAGAAGAGGGGCTCAGGGAATCCTGTGGTCAGCATGCAAGGAATCCGCTCCCTTTTGTACCTCTGTCTCACACACTGCTGGAGTGACAGCGGGAGATGGTGGCAGCAAAGGTGTCCTGTATCTCACTTAAAGGACAAAAGGAAATACTACATCAGCAGCACTAGTGATTCTTGTCACCAAGGACTGGTTGTCCTGGAGAGTGTTGAAAGAGACCCAGGCCACAGGCCATGCCTATGCTCCCTCTCCAAGCTAGCTAACCTTTCTAAAGAGAGGCATGACTGGCTCCACAGGATCTTCTAAGCACCACTCCTCTTGGGGAAACAAGTCACACAGTAAATCATTGCCCTCTGAAGTGCAGTTTCCTGCTTATTTTAGTACGTGTATACATGAAGACAGAAGTTATCCTACAATGTCTTTGATAAATATCTGGGCGCAGAAACCAATGGATAACTGCCTCTCCAGGGCTTTTTATTTCCTTCCAAATAAGCTGTGGTTTTACTTTCTGTCAATTTACCAAAATGAGAATATTGCAGGTAATCCACTGTAATCTAGTTTTCTGGTAATAAGCAATAATTTTAGACCAACCATTAAACTTAATTCCATACAGATCTTGAGTGGTTTGTTTCTGAAAACATGTGACATCAGGAATGAGCAGCTGCAGAAAGCTTTGTAAACAAGCTACTCCCAAAGTCACTCCTCTTCAGCTGCACAGCTTCCCTCAGATAAACATGCCTCCATGTATTTTTGCAGGCACAGGTTGGGCATTATGAGCTTGGCTAGGAGTGGCCAGGTTTCTTATTAAATGGATTCACTTATTGGGAGGCACTTATCATTAAGCAATGCAGAATTCTTAACACTTCTTTTTCTCCTTTGTCCTCTGCCAGAGTTTGTGTGTTCATCTGAATAAACAAACAGTGCTCATGTATCAGTTTATCAGTTTCCTTATTTCTCCAGAGGCTTCCTAATCCCCCCCTTCCTTATATTTTTCATGGAAGTGCAAATGTATGCAGTAGTATGACAGGTGAGAGAACCATGGCATAAAGAAGAAGTGAAACCAGATGAGGATGGTCCCCAGCAGATACTCTTCAAGCAAAAGGTGTCTTCAGATGTTCCTATGTCACCCTCTGCCAAGCAGCAATGTAATTTAGCTGCTTCTTCACACTCCTACAGTAAAAATCAGACACTGGGTGGACTAAAAATAGGCTTGATCAAACTTGACCTCCCTATCGGGGTGACATGGGACAGCAAAATTCCACTGCAAAAGCAAAATGCACAGACCTACCAAAAATCTCCAAGTTCTCAAAATTGTCATTTTGCATGCTCAGACCAACTGCACCTGCACAATTTCCCCAAAGGGGTAAAGGTATGTGGGAGTTATAGGTCATCACAAAGACAGCAACACACACAGGACCATGCTAATGCGGCTCTGCTCTTCAGGACCCAAACTAGACAGAGACTTCCTAGTGGGAATACAACTCATTCCACTGCAGAAATCATGCAGTGTGGATAAACACCCGTTTACCTGCTGGCAACCATTTTCAGTGGCATGACTTCAATACACCTAAATGACCCTTAATATTTACTTTTCTGGGCAAAAGATTAATAGATTTTGGTCCTGGCAGCTGCTCTTCCTGACCTGAAAGGAAGACAAGAGATGGTTCAGCCACCATGAGGCTCCTCGTCAGACCTCTTCTGCCAAGCAGAACAGTGCACTCTGTGGGTCCCTTTTACCACAGCTACCAAAGCTCCAGATGTTCCTCTTCTCTCCCCCCACTCATCCCTCCTGGGTGGGACAAGGACATTGCTCTCCATTACTTCACAACCAGGAATACTCTCTGCAGAACTCCACAAAAAAAGTGAAAAAGAGCCAATACAAGACCAGACTGCTGATAAACAACAATAGTGCCCCAAATTAGTTTCTGCTATTAATGGATGAGTGAGAATTTTCTACACTTCCATCTTCAAAATATCTCAAAGATGCTTCAACTCTCCTTCCTTCCTGACATGTATCTCACGTGACTTGGGCTAACTTTAGGCTCCCCTGTTAAACTGAGTGAAGTGGGGGGAGCAAAGGGAGCGGTTTAAAAAAGGAAATAATGCCTGGCTTTCAACACAACTTTATTTTATTGTTCTCATCTCTCCATATTCATGTGACTTGATCAAAAAGTTAACAAGAGACCAACCACATCAAAACAAAAATCCCAGTATGAATGTCCAAATTCTTTGTATGTTTGGAAATCTCCCACTGAATCTGACATTGCAGTGTTAGAATAACAGAAATGCATAGTTTGGGGTCACTGCCTTAATCTCTTGGACACACTCTTCCAAGTGGTCTGCAGTTCATTTCAAACAAAAACAAGTGAACAAAGCAAGGGATACTGGCAGCCAACCACACAAGGCTGGATTATAGTGGTTTATTTTCCCTTTTTAACATAGAAACAATGTCTGAACTATGTCATTTACAGGGGAAAGAGCGGGAATGAATTCTTACTCACAGGTAGAGTCTGCAGGGAATAGTATTAATAAACTGCCCCTTACACTCCCTCCAGGCCACTCTCCAGAGAAGCAGCAAATTTTACAGTCATGGGTTTGATTAGACACAGTAATTTTATAATCTTAATTTTGAAGAGTTTGGCTGACTTTTTAGATTACTGACAGTCAGAATATACACACAGTTGGTCCTGCCTGTTGGAACCATAGAGCAGAGTTTCAAAACCACAAAACTACACATAATTTCCTTGTCTACAACTTTTCAATTTTCCTACATACACATGTTTCCTGCCAGCGAGCTGCAGGCAGCTTGCCTTTCAGCTTGTGGAGTTTCTGGATTACCTTTCAGAGAGGCTTCACCCCCTCCAGGACTGAGAAAGAAGACAAGATTCATCTCTGGCATTTGGACTCATCCTACCCTGGCCAAGCACAGCACATTGAGGTATCAAAGTCACATTTGGGAGCACCAGAGGGACTGTGGATCTCCTTCAAAGAGACTCGAGAACTTCCCCAAGGTCCCCCAAGAAATCTGTGGCAGAACAGAAATTGACAGCTACTTCCTTAGCACATCTGCATCCCAAAAATGGGTGGATAGGAGCATTCTGGTCTCAGTCATGTAACAAACATACTGTACAAGACTACCTACAGAGAACACAAATCTTACTCTGATAGATAGGGGAACTGTAAATACAAGCCCTGTAAGTGCTGGAGGCAAAGCTAATGGGAACAGTTCTGACAACATAAGGAGCTAAGCCAAGCAGGTAAGGATTTCTTTGAAATCCCTCCTGGACATAAAACCATGGCATGGAAAGCCAAAGGTTACATCTCCCCTGCTCTCAAGTTCTTCCAGATGTCTTAAGTGGGCCGCTTACCCACATGGGTTAAAGCTATGCACATAGCTATCAATCATGCTCAGAAACAAAGTGTTTCAAGTAAATTTTGCAGTAAATCAATAGAGGAAAGTAGGGAAGGTTAGCTTCTGCCAAAGTTTTCAATCCATGTTCCCCCATCTTAAACAACACAACTGCCTCCTGTCTGTTGTATTATGAACTTTCATTATCAGATCTGGGAAAACCTTCCACTGATAAGGACTATGTCCTCCCACACTACAACTCAGTCATTTGCTGTGCAGCGGAAGTGTTACAAGGGCAACTGCAAACCTGTCAGCTTAAGGGTTACACTATAGCAAACACTAACCCTGTGCAATTTCTTGAGAATTTACCACTGATATTTGGAAGTCAAAGCATTTGTATCAACTTTAAAAAAATGCTGTAAATTCCTCTTAAAAACCTTTGATGCAAGAGTGAGAAGTGATGTGGGAAACTCTGGCCTTTAGCCAAATTATAAAATAAATTATTATGCACCCTGTAGGTGTATTAATCTAGTTCTGCTATAAATTTTTATTATGAGTTGTTATTGATTCATAGCCATAAACACACTAGGTGCTCGAGATCTTTGCCCAGAAGTTTTCAGTCCCAAATCCTGCACTTGGAAAGACTTGTGCTTACTTCAGCATCTAGTAGCAGACCCCATTCATCTCAACAACATCAGCCAACTCATGTTTCTGATTCTAGTTGTTCCTACTGACAGTTGAGCTATGCTGGCACCTTACAAATAATCCTTTGATTTGCTGTCATCACACATTCTCTTGGGAGGATACATGTAGTCAACATCCCCTACACAAATGGACAGAGCTGAGCAACCACCAATGCTTGGGACATTACAAGCTTAAGTGATGTATGATCATTTACAGTGGCCTAAGAGCCAAATGAGTCAGAAGTAAAGCCCAGGGTTCTCTCTGGGTTTCAAGTTACCAAAAGCCTCTTGAAATAGGATCAGTTCTGAGGCAAAAAGAACACCACAGCAACTTCCAAATGTGGTGAAAAGGCTAACCATTGGGAAGGAAAACTAAAAAAAATTAAAAATTCACCTTCAAATCCAGTCAAACATATAAACATCCTGTGGTGTTACAGAGTAATTCTATTTCAACCACATTCCTGAACTGTTACTGACTGGAGTAACAGCAAAGTTGAGACATTCATCAGCAAAATCTAATTCAGTCCTGTCTAAACTACCAAGACGAATTACCCACTAAGCTGTGTGAGGTGTCAGTGCTGCCATGCTGGGTAGTGCTCCTTAACAGAGCTCTATGCAGCACCAGCACAGATAGCTGCTGCCTGGCCAAGAAAAGATGAAGTCCCAAATGAACAGATTCAGTTTAACACGCCATACCTGAAGGGAAGTGCCAACTGAACAGGCAACATCTTCCTTAATTAAGGTTGCATAGGAGTGGGGATAGCGAGAAGGACACATCTGATGACTTGGTACAATTCGGCCATAAAAAGAAGACTGGATGCTGATGGTAGTTCTGTGAGGACATCTCAGGGAGACATATTCTCCATCGCAGGCATGGTCAGTGTAATTCTTTAGTACTTGTGATATGTAACCTGCAAAAACCATGAGAAAAACTATCATTAGTGAAAGGAAGTTAATATTTAGGCGATTCACACCACTGCAATATAACAAACACACATCCTACAAGCAATAAAGGACACATTTTATTCCTCATCTCACACATGTGCAAAGGAGAGAGACAATGACATGGCAGGGGTGGAGGCCTGGTGACTTGACCTTCAGCCATACTTGGTGGAAGTAATACTCAGATGCTCCAAACGCTTAGTCCAATCATGACACTTATTTCCGTTGGCATATCTACAAAGTCTACAGGAAATGCAGCTGAGCCAGACTCATCATTTAGACCACATCTAGATACTGTATGCAATTTTTGGACCCACGATAAAAAGTAGACTTCCATAAACTGGAGTGAATTTGACAGAGGGCCACCAAGGTGTTTGGGAGCTGGAGCACTTGCCCTGTAAGAAGTGGCTTGTTTAGCCTAGAGAAGATACAGTGTTGTGGAAAACTAGTAGCAGCCTGCCAGCATCTATAGGGAGATTATCAAGGAGATGGAGCCACGCTCTTCACAGTGGTGCATGGTGGGAGAATGAGAGATAACAGGCACAAGACGAAGCAAGAGATTCAGACCAGGTATATGGAGCAACCTTTTCACTGTGAGGGTAGTCAAGCAGTGGAGCAGCTTGCCCAGAGAACTTGTGCAGCCTGCATCCTTAGAGGTTTTCAAGACCTTACCAGATAAAGCCCTGAGCAACCTGGCCTGCCCTTCTGCTCAAAGCTGGACCTACTTAGACCAAGTTTCCCAAGGCCTTGCCCAGTTCTGAATATCTCCAAGGATAAGGCCTCCACAACCTCTCTGGGTAACCTGTGCCAATGCTTAACAATTTTCACAGTGAAAATTTTTTTCATTACATGCAATTGGAATTTTCCAGGTTATGACTTTTTTTGTTCCCCTTGGTTCTTCCATTGTACATTTCAGATAAAAGACTGGTTCTGTTTCCTCTATACCTTTAGGTAGTGTAAAACAGTAATTAGATCCCACTCCCCTTATTCTTTACTTCTCCTAGATGAACAGAGCAGCTCCCTCAGACTCTTATTTATCATATGTTCTAGTACCCTTGCCTTCTTGGCAGCCAAAGGGATTCTTTCTAGATCTCAACATCTTTGCTATACTGAGGGGCCAGCTTGGTATGCAATTACCTTTCATTACTGCAAGGTGCATTGCTTCCTCACATCATCCTGTCTTCCAAGACATGAGAATGGACACAGAGAAGCACAATTCATGTGGTTTGAGAGAATTCACATGGCTTTCTCAGAATCATCTCTAGCTATCCTTGTAGACATATCTGTAGGGCATACTTACTCCACTAAGTTAAACACTTCCAGGGCCTTTTCTCTGCCTCTAAGGCCATATCCAGCAACTTCCTCTTACTCTCCAAAATAGAATGGCTTACATCCAGAACTTTTAATGGGAATAGTTGTGCTTCCAGACCAACACTGAAACCTAGCTCAAGAGTTGTGTGAAAGAACATCAGTCCGAACAAATATCAAGATGCCCAAAATGCCTATAATTATTGTTCTCAGATACAATCAACACACACTAATTTAGCTTCAGTATTCAAACTGCCACGATGAGGTCTGGATCCTCTGATTTCTCTAAATTACAGTTCTTATTTAGCAGTTCTGTTGCTGCAGTGCCTCAAGGTGTGTGCCAAATATATATTTACTCAAATCAACATATTAATTTCCAAATCCCCAGGGCTACATTTGCTCATAAGAAAAAGGCTGAGACACAGCCCCAGTAATTAGAGTAAGTGACAGGGCTGCATCAGATCAGGGAATAGCACTATTTAATTTAGTGCCTTTATCTCAGTTGTTCAAGGAAGCACTCTGGGAATAAAATGAACTACCGGAGTGCATCTCCTTTCCCAGCCAGTAGAATACATGCTCTGTGTGATGCTGTACACCTAGTCTTGCAGTCAGATCAGCTCTTTTCCATGAAAAGTAAGGCAGTCATACAAGATGGGCATCAGGACAAGCAAACTGCAAGCAAAACCAGAATATAACACAAAACATTAAACCCTAATTTCCATGCTGTTACTCCAGCACGTTAGGACTTTTCCCTGAGGCTGACCTATTAGGGAGCCAGAGAAATACAACCAAGATGCAGTCAAGGCTCTACTTGATTCTCTGGATATTCAATTATTCTGTCAGACTGCCATCCTAGAACATGCCTTTCATATTACCAATTCAGGATCAGCGAAGACTTCAACTCTTGCAGTTAGTGCAGATCACTTGTTGAAACAACTCCTTCCTCTCATCTTTCATCAGCAATCTTAGAATAACTTGAGTTTATTCAAGCTCAAGATATTGAAGGGATTGAACACTTTGATGGTTTCTGGCTAAATAATAACCTAAGCACAGTATCTGAAACATCTGGCACTGACCACTGTCAGAGATAAAATACTGGATTAGGTATGGACATCATCAGAGATGACATGATGATCTTCAAAGAGCAAAAGGAGTGGCTGTAGAGAATTAATGCACTCTTTTCCTATTTAAGTGTGCCAGATTTGCATTACATTCATTGGTCATTCTCTTGAAAGCATTGCCATTTCATTACCCATTGATTCATGGTTCAGTAACCCAAAACTGATTTTTTTCAGCATCCTTGCTGAATTTTTGGTAACAAGTCTCCAGCAACCTCTTGTACCACTACATGTGGTACCAGGGAGGGAACTACTAGGATGCTCTTTACTGAATGAAATGCATAAACATGTAGCAAATGGCAGGTGTTTGGGTACTTCAATGGCACTTGTATACCAAGGTAAGAAGCCCTCCATCAGGACACAAGGAATAGCTTACAGAACTCTTTGACTCTTTCCTGGCAAGCATGAATAAATCTCTTTTGGATGGCTGCAAGAAACTATTTTAGTTTAGGAAAATGATACAGCAGATCACCTGTTCATAGGCCACAGAATGAGAGTCAAGAAACTGAGACAACAAACGTATTATCAAATGATGTTACCATTCCCCATCAAGTATATGTCTCTGCATTATGGGATATAAGCTACAGTCTTACAAGTACCCACTCCAAAGATAAGACAAGTTGGTTTTAAAGATGGCCGAAGACATTTGCTTCTCCTTTCTTCACCCTCAAATTCTGGGATGTGATATCACCATTGTTGTACCCAGGACCTGAAGGGAAGCAATTATTTAAGGAAAACATTCCAGCTGTACTGCTACAGTCAAATCTACCCTATTATGGCATGGTTCATCTAGGAGTGGAAGTGACGTAAATTGTCATGATTTTATCAGGAAATTCTTTAGTGGTTCACTTACTAGCCTGTGTAGTAAAGACAATGTTAGAGCAAGTAGTAACTTGAGCATTTCTTTAAAAATGTATATTGCATTTGAAAGCCTGGTAAAAATATAAAAGAATTTTAAAGCATTAAGCCCACCAAAACTTTTCCAAATGCTATACATTTTGAAAATCCAGGATAACAAAAATGATCTCAAAATCTTTTGGGTTTAGCACTTCTTTTTTTTTTTTCCAAGGATTGTGTTGAGGACATGGAATCTTTGCTGGTGGACATCCATACTCCCAAATTAAATCACTGTATAGGAGTCAAGTGCTAAACAACTCCTTGATTCAAAAGACCAATGTCACTACCAAAGCAGGGATTTACACTCTGAGGACAGAAAAAAGAACCAAAAGAAGTAGATCACAAAAACAACAGGTCAGTTTCCCTCTAACAGGAGGGAAATGTTCCTTTCAAACACCACTTCCAATTTATTTTTCCAAAGTCCAGAGTTCGACTCCTATCAGTCATCAGCAATTAACTTCACTATTTGCCAAAAACAACACTTGATGCTGACTGTAACTCTATCCCACCCAGCAATGTTAGTTCCCAAGAACCATTTTCACCATTGCCTCTCCAGGGAACTGTTGCTCAGTTCCCATCCAACAGCCAATTCTAACCCTTAACACATATGCAGACTAGAGGAAAATAACGATTTCATATAGAATATCATCCTTTTACAGGTACTTTAAATCTAATCATAATCCTTTACTTACTCTCCTAGAGCAACAGCCCTGCCTTTTTCAAATAAAAGCAACTAATGGAGTGCTTCACAAAAGCACAGATGATATAAGAGCTTCCATCGCATCCAAATGTAGGATAATAGTAGACTATGCAAACGCTCATTCATACATCCTTTTTAAGTATGGTTATCTAAAAGCAGCAAGTCCTCTTCTGTTTCCACTAAATACAGTTCTAGTTTTGATTCATAAGGGCCATAGCGACGACACATCAGCTTGTCAGTCATCAGAGGACAAATTTCATCTTTCACCAGGAAACACCTCTGTGTGTGTGTGCTGGAGGAATAGAGACAATCACAACAAAACTAACACTTTGTACAGTTTGAATATGACCTGAAACTTCTAATAAATTACAAGGAAACTCAAATGATATTAATGTTTAATGAACTACTACACATAATTCAAGCCAGACCTTCATTAGTATCTGCACTGAGCTATATCTAAGCTGTAGTACTGTCTTAAAATATCCAATTCTGAGCTTTTGTAGTTACACATGTAGAAGTAGATACATATAACAGAAAAACCAACATATTGAATAAAGAACATTATACTTGGAAACAAGTGATTTCCGTTATCTGAAACACATGCAGTCAGTGCAATTAACTGTGTTGGTGAATAAAACATTACCTTGTTCCTGGTTGACACAGATTCTTTTATTTTTAATCCCATTATTTGGGGGTGGGGAGTGGTGTGGTGTCAGTATTTACTGTTATATTCTCCTAGTTTCCTTACCTTCCTTGCAGAGATTCTAAATGTGAAACAAAACTTTCTTCCAGGAGAGACCTTAATCAGATACATTTCTGGAGCTCAGACTACCCCTATACCACACTGTTTTTTGGACAGGTTGTGGAGAATTTCAGCTTATTCTTTATATGCAGAACACTGATACTCGTTACTCACAGAAACAGTGCTAAGCCAGTGGAATAGAAT